CCCAAACAACTGCTGCCCTCGTTGCTCTCCACATTACCCTTCCTCTTTTCTTTGACTGACGAAAAAAGCTAGATTCAAAAAGATCCACCACGCTTGTAAGAGGAACCCACCTACACCCAAAGAGAGAGGAAAACCAATCCCAAATAAGAGAAACAAAAGGACAAGATATTAGTAGATGATTTATCGTCTCACCACTCTTCAAGCAAAGGCTACAAACATGAGGGGATAAAAACCAATTTGGTCTTTTTTTCTGAAGCAAGTCCAAAGTATTGATTTTTTGGAGAACCACTTCCCAACAAAAATCCCTCACCTTTGGAGGTACAGGAGCACTCCACACTTCTTTTATAGGAAAAGAGTAAACTAAATTGAAAGAGTGCACTAAAGCATTGAAGAAAGAAGAGCATGAAAAACAACCGGAGGACTCTTCAAACCAAATTCTGTTATCAGGGCAAGAATGATCCAAAAACACTGAATTTAAAAGGGAGAAAAGATCATCTGCCAACCCTATTTCTGACTCCCTCAACCCTCTCCTGAACCCTAAATCCCACGCCTCATTAGAAACACGAAAGGTAGAGATGACTTTAAATTTGTTCAAGGACAAGGAGATGACTTTAATTTTTACATATCTTTATATGACATTTCCAACATTTACGATATTTGGATGACTGATATTTCCATCAACACCCGCATTTTAAACCTTGCCCTCAACACACACATATGCTCTGTTCATAGTTATCAGCCACATGAAGGTTTCCACCCTAGGTGGGACTGTGATGTAGTTCAACCTTCTACAGCAATAGAAGACATGGAAAATTAATTGCTAGAGAGGTAATAAATGTCTGCACCTAGATCTGGAAGCTTACAACAATTTCTAAGTTTGTAGTTTCCATATTTATAACCAGACTTCTTTTGATGGGGGGCAAATTTCCTATTTTTTAGGTGGTCTGGAAACTATTAGTTAAACTCAAATACTATTTTGCCAAGTTTCTATTTCCTGAGTCTCTATTCTTGGGAGTTTTTAGGATTCTAATTAGGACTCAGCTGTGGTTTTAGTAATTGACAAATTTTTATTTCAGCCAATGCTTTGAGAGTTTCTATGTACACATGTAAATCTATCCAAAATAGAATTGAATGAATTAATTTGCGTTCTTCTCTAATCTCTATAGTTGCTTTTTTTTCTCTGCTTTAAGTCAGCATTAGAGAAAGATTTTCTTTTGACATGAGCAAGAATTAAAGGAAAAGTTGATCACTCAATTCTGAAAACAATTTGATGATAACAAGAACAACTTCAGAGGTAGAAGTGCATTTTGTTTTGGAAATATGAAGATGAACTGTTCTGGACTCCTATAGGATATATGTGTAAGGATTGAATCCTATGGTGGGTCTTGGCTCAGTTGGTAAGTTCTGTGGCTATTTATAGCAGAGGCTATGGGTGACAGCCCCATGAACTCAAATAAAATAAAATCCTATAGGGAGATGCAGGATGATTAATGAAGTATAAGAGCTGAAGACTGATTAACCATGAAAGTGGTACTCGATCTGTGTTGCTAAATTATAGAGATTCATAGAAGACAGCAGGGAATGCAGATACCCCATTTCTAAGAAGGTGCAACTTACACATTCTAAAGCTTCTGTTTACTATTCCAATAGGTAAAACCAGCCAAGAAAATATCACAATTGGTGCCAAAAAATAGGTAACAGCCCGATTTGCCTTCCAACGAGAAACTACCCCAATGATCCATTCCATGAATAGAGAGAATTCGACCTTAAAAGATAGTCTCAGTCAGGATTTTATTCCCTTTTTTTCAGTCAGGATCTTATAAACTGAATACTAAAATTCAAATAAAAAATCTACAAAAAAAGGGAACATCAGCAAAAGAACTTGAACCATTTGCACGAAACTAATTGCAGCAAGCATTGTGTTACAGAATACAGATCCGTGAGAAATTATAACTAATGTTTCCTGCTTCGAGCTTTTGCATTTCCTAATCCTAAAAGGATAATGGGAAATAAGAAAAAAACAGACCTGCAAAGAATGGGGGGAGAGAGAGAGATGTAAATTAGGAGGAGGCGAACATACTGACAAGAAGAGTCCTCGAAAGCGTCCATTGCTGCGCGCGACCGACGATCGAGAATGGAAGCCAATGAGTAGGAATGAAGGAATGGAGAAGCGAAACAGTCGCAATTCCTCCGATCGTAGACAGATCTTTTGCACTAAAACTCTCCATTTCTCTACCAAAGAAACGAGAAGCAAAAACAAAACCGATAATGATCTACTCCGATTTCGTGATCCACAGAAACAACAAGAAAACGAGAAAGTAGGGGGCTTCGAAATGAATCCTGCAATTTCGAAGATTATCCTCTATCTGGTTATACCTGCATTTACATTGCAATTGCATTACTGAGAAGATATCATGAATTTTAGGGTTTTGATTAAAGGAATATTACACCAAAGAGTAGTAAAGAGAGTATCAAATTCTGAAGGGTTAATTTGTTAAATATACCCTATATTTTCATGCAAGGTGCCAACTGGTTGGTTGGTAAGCTTTCTGAGGAGACTTGCGAATCCCGCCGCGTACTCTGTGTTGTTGGGGGAGGGGTTATGGATTTGGGTGATGGGCTATCCCCATTGAGTACCCCACACCAGAAGGGAAAAAAAAAATACATAGTGACACTGTGCAAATTTTCAACTGTTAAGTATAGGCTCAAACAAGTTTGGAAGGATTACAAAATACAAATACAAATATGCGAATGTAAAATCTTGTATTTTGTATTATTTGTATTCCTTTTAAACTGAGTCTAGGGCTCAGTTTGGAAGGAATACAAATATAAATTTGTAGAGTATAAAATCTTGAATTTTTGTATGTATTTGTATTCTATATATTTGTATTGTATTCTTTTTAAATTGAAGTTCAGTTTAGAAATATAAATATATACAAAATATAAGGTTTTGCACTCTACATATTTGTATTTATACTCCTTCTAAAGCCCTAAAAACAAATATTAAGTCTAATTCCGTCAAAACTGACATTAAGATAAAAGAATAAAATTATGAAAATGCTTATACTCAAATTCTCTTTTTCATCTTCTTCTACCTTTGGATGCAAACAATGGCGACAAAAAAGTTTTGGTAGGCAGTGCATTTGTATGATAACAAAAGCAACATATAAGCATTGCTTAGCATCATCCCTTCTTCTTGCCTGGAGGCTTCATTATAGAACTCAAATATTCCTTTTTGTTTCTGAATGCTTTTATTTATGTGTAGACTTTAAATGCTTTGCTATTTTGTGAATTATCATTTATTTTGTATTGCCACTAGATCGTGTCCAAAGGTAGAGGAATAGTAAAAAAAGAAGAATTTGAAGATGGGTATTTTAGTAATTTTTGTCCTCAGTGTAACACCAATTTAATGGAGTCAAACTTAATTGAATATTTATGGAAGTTCAAGGTACTAAAATGTCACACTTGAAAGTTTAGACCCTTATGTGTTATTACCCCGAAATTACAAGGTACCTATCTATAATTTACCCAAAAATACCCTATTATTTCATTAAACTACTTAAATATAGGGGAATAAATGTATCAAATTCAAATCAAATAAAGCAATATCTGAATTTGATTTGATATCCAATAGATATTGAAAATTAAAGTTTGATTTTAAATTCAATTAAATATTTGAATATTCAATTTAATTCGAATTCGACCAATTAATTATTTTAGGTACTTAATAAATATTTTATTTATATAAATTATATATATGTAGTTTAAATATTATATATAAAATTATATAAAATGTTTTAAGTATTTTATATTATATATATATATATATATATATAAATTAAATAATCGATTGAATTCAGATATTTATCGAATTGGATCAGGTCATATCTAGATTCGATTTAATTATGTTGAATCTCAAATTCAAAAGCGGATTTTTGAATACTATTGATACCCCTACTTGTAAAGGGTAAAAAAGTCCTTTGCCTTATGGTAATTTGACCAAAAAAAATATAAGGGCAAAAGGCTTAACACCCCCCTAAAACCTCCCCTATTAGATACATTAGTCATTATGCATAATGTAATGTAGGTGTTGAAAAGTCTAATATACCCTTATAAGTTATAAGTAGCACTCAAGTCTCAACCACTAAGTTCGATTGCTCTGCATAAACTACAAATTTGCCAAGAAAATTTGACAAGCGCCATGACCAACCACTCTTCCATTCATCACTAGGTCTAATGTGAATCTGCAGTGATGTCCACTCTTCAAGTCAATCTTGGAGAAGACCGAGGCTTGGCTAAGTTGGTCTAACATCTCCTCCAATCAGGGAAATAGGAAATTGGTAACTTTATAGTGATTTTGTTGATTATTTGGTTTATCTATACACACTCTCCACAGCCAACTTTCTTGGGAACTAAAGAGCTGGGACTGCACACATGCTAAGGTTGGGCTGGATGTGCCCTTTCTATAGCAACTTATTCTACAGTTGAATGAAGAGACTTTGGTGATAGTTTGGTGGAAGGAACTCTCTTCTATGGATTGTGGATGGTGGTGGCTAGGGGTGTCAATTGGACTGGATTTGGTCCAACCTGATCCAGTCCAATGTGAGTCCATTATAAATGGACCAGGTCCAATCCAATCCAATGAATGTTTTGAATTGGTCCAATTCAATGTTTGGACCATCCAATTTATTCAAATTCATTTTGATTTAGATTGGTTTCAACCCAAATCCGATTCATTGACACATATATTCTTATCTTATATTAATGGACCAGATATTAGCTTAATCCAACCAAATCCAATATAAATTTGTTACAGACGAACCAGGTCCAATCCAATGTAATAAATATTTTGGACCAGATTGGTCCAATCCAATATGTCTTGTTGGTCCATCCAATCCGTCCAATTTGATTTTGGATTGGACCCCATCCAAATTGATTTTGGACTGGATGGGGTCCAATCCAAAACCGATCCATTGACACCCTTAGTGGTGGCGGGCTTCTCGTGTTCTAGTGACTCCCAAGAGGAAGACACCAAGGCTTCCTCATATTCATCCTCATTTTTACAGAGAGTGGATCAATATGAAAGGAAGAGTAAGGGTCGAGATCATGGTTTTTAAAAACAAACCGGTGATCGAACCGGTTAGGGGTCCGGTTATTGGTTCGAACGGTCCGACTGTTTGACCTGACGGCCAGCCCATTCTGACAAAAAAATAAAAAAAATGAAAAACAGTCAAAACCATTTGAATGATTAACCGGCCGGTTCAGCGGTTTGCTGACCAAAATCAACGGTTTTAGGGGAAAAAGCAGTTTTAGAAGAAAACGGAACCGGTCAAATGACTGATTCCCGATTTTTCCGTCTGACTATTCAGTCCAGTCCGGTCTTGAAAACAGTGGTAGAGATAATCACTATGAGATGCTCTCCTACCTTATTGTTCAAGAACCAAGTTAATAAGTTCGTCTTTGGTCAATGTAGGTGATGCATTCTTCAAGGTTTTGGACTATGCGGAATTCCTCTACACCCATGAATGAAACTCTTCCCAGTAGTGTGTCCACGTAATAGCCATATATGTTAAATCAATTAGACACTAATACCAGCTGATGCAATTGGTAGTCCTTAGGGGATGAGAACCTTAGGCTGTGTTTGGTTGCAATGCAAATAAATTTGCATTGATACAAAACCATAGCAGTGAAAATGATTTGAATGTAAATTCTGACCTATTTGTTGTTTCAAATTTTAGTTTATTCTGTTTGATTGCAGTACAAAGTTCGTGCATCGCATGAATCCCCGTTAATTTCAAATATTTTCACGAAGGTACTGTCAAACGTGCTTCTTCTTTACTTGCTTTTTGTTTCCAAAAACTTGTAGGAAATGTAATCAAGAACCCCACCAAGGTGCCAAGTTTTTGGTGAAGTTGAGTTTGTTATAGAATAAATGCAGCAAGGGAGAGAGAGACAGACAGAGAAGACCAATAATTTTGGGGGTTATTTGGCTCTTTTCCTCTATTCATTTCTAATAAGATACACATGTGAGATTGTGAGAGGTTGGCTTAGTGGCCTTCTTTTGTTCTCTCCACTCACCTCCCCTACTCTCTTCTTCTAGCCTCGACTCAAATTTTCTTCTTCCATCTTTTTTTTGTCATCTCTCCCCATACACTAACAAGTGAAAAACAACAAATAGTAATGGAAACTAATAACCTCACCTGCATTCATTTGTTTCAATTTTGGCATTTGAAATAGAGGTATCAAGGAAGCTAACCTGCTTTTTTCCTTGAATTTATACTCGATCGAGTTGTTAGGCTGCTACCACCACCAAGGTTTAATAGGAGCTTCGCGTTTGAAGATGATCAAATGGTTAAGGAGGTTTTCTTGATTTATCATGGGGAAGGTAGTGCCAATTGAATTTGGTTACCATGTAATGGCCGGAGGTGGGATTGACCAATGTTTTTGAATTGCCATTGACCCGGATGGTTGGACTGTTCAGCTTGGGAACCATGCAGGCAACCAGTTCCATTTTACCCCAAACTCGGTTTTTAGCCAAAAACTGTTGAATTGGTCAACGATTCATTGACTTGGGCGGTTGAATTCAACCCGTTCAACGGTTTTTGACCATTTTTATTTTTTCGTTGGAACAAGCCGTCTGCTTGAACCAGATAGTCGAACTATCAACCCAAAAACCAATGGCCAAAACAATTCCAATTCTGAGTTGTTTTTAAAACCTTGGGATTGACACTAAATGGGAAGCGACAAGCAAGGGAATTGGTAGTGTTTAGTTTAGTATAGTCTATTTGTTGCCATTGGGGTGGGCTAAGGAATATTAGTAATCAGGGACTAAAATTTGCAAAGGAACAAATACAATCATCACATGCCCTTGTTGAGATGAGTAAGGGCCAATGGGAGGGGCGTCTCCGTTCAAAAATATACACACCGGAAAATTGTGATTTTAATAGTTATATTGTAGCCTAATGTTTTCACACCATCTAGAGAATCATTTAGGTAAGTTGAAACTTAGGATGGTTGAATTCCTTATGCTCAATTTGGAAGAGTATAAATACAAATATGTACAATGCAAATACATATAAAATAATACAAAATACAAGCTTTTGCACTTTACATATTTATATTTGTACTCCTCCAAACTCAACGTTAGGTTCAGTTTAGGAGTACAAATACAAATATGTAGTGTAAACCCTTATATTTTGTATTGTTTTGTATATATTTATATGTACTGTACGTATTTTGTATTTGTACTCATTCCAAACAGAGACTTAATAACATGGTCCTTAAACTTCTTGAAAAGTGGGGGTGGCAATTGAGTGGGTTTGGGCAGGTTGGATTTGTTCAACCCAATCCATTTGACCCATCAACTTGTTAATGACTCACTTAAATAAAATTAAATGAGTTGGGTTCAACCCAAAACCTCCTTGATCCAACCAATCCCGTCCAACCCATTAACCTTGTAACAGCTTGAATTTTATGAGAAGTAATAACAAATTCCCTTTTGAAATCTTAGTTAGGCATGACTTAGTGGTTAAAGTGATGTCTTTCACATAAGTGTCCAACTTTCATATCACATTACATGCACATTATTTTTCCATGGAGAATCCAAGAGCAATTAATCATTTGAGGTCATTTGAATATATTTGAGTTCTGGATATGGTTAAGTAGCTCAGGTTTGAATCAAATTAGACCAGTCCAAGTAATCTAGCTGGATTTGCATTTCGTTTGATTGGATCAGGTTTAACCAGACTGCTTGACCTAAATCAGATCAAGCTGAATTAGTTAGCTTTAGGATGCTTTGTGTTTCGCAGTTAGAACCATTTAGGGTCCGTTTGGTTTGGAGTTAGAATCGGAATTGGAATTGAAATGGTTCAGAGCAGGAATGAGATTTTATTCCCAAGAGAGGGGCAAGGAATAGTCATTCCATCTGCTTCGACAAGACCCCCCCCCTCCCCCCTTTCAACTAATGTTATGCATCTTTATTCTTCTTAATATAAATATACAAGATTTTTATTTATAAAGAAAAAATGAGATCCCCCCTTCATCTTCATCCTCCTCCTAACCCCCCTCTTCATAACCTCCTTGTGTTCGGGAGGCTTACACCTCTTGTGTTCTTAACTACGACTCATACCTCTAGGTAGTGGAATGCCTTGTGTCATGCCTCCGCATTTTAAAACATTGAATATTATCTAAAGATTCTCCTTTATGATGGTGCAAACCTTCATTGTTACATAAGATTTTGAATCATATCCTTTACATTTTCAGTAATGCTGACAAAATATTCAAGCTGAAAAGAAAAAAAAAGAATTAGATTCAATGTAATAGATATGGGTTATATGTTATGGGCTAAATCATCACAAATTGATAGAGTCAGCAGAATTAACAGGCCATTAGATCTTCTTGTGTTGCATGAATAGTGGGAATCTTGACCCTCACGGGGTTTCTGATGTGGTAGGATTCCTCGGGGCAGAAAACTATATAAGGAACATTGTTGTCAGTCTTTAAATGATATAGGCACTGCCCAGCAGCAAAACTACCAAGAAGTTGATATGACTGCTCTGAGCCATCCATTGTGATGCAAAAATCATCAGCACCTGCAGAGAAATTTAAGTTTCAGTATTTAAAAGACAAATGAGCTCCACCTCCACTATAAACTCACTTGTACAACCAGAGTTAGATACAGATTAATTGGAACACAGAGTTGATCTGCAATCTTAATATTATAAACACCACAATAGTCCACATAATACATGTCAAAGGGGAGGAAATCACTCAAATCTTTTATTTAGATGGGCAAGCTTCAACAATATTGGATAACCATCATTAATAAATAATCCTGCCAGGGAGTTCGGTTAAAATTAGCCTGATCAATCAAATTTAATGATCTGCTATGAAGACCCATCCTTCTGCCCTGCTGTATTCAAATTACTTTCAAAGTCAAACCAATGCGATGATCCAGTTATGTGCAATTTTGGAATGGATCTGGCCTTGAAAAGAATTTGAAGTTAGAAAGTTTTTTACTTGGACTATAAGATAATGTTTTGCACCTTTTCGACCTCTATATTTTTTCCTTTCTAGTTTCAAGTTGAGTACCAATGCTAGAAAGTTTCTAGTTGAAAAAAATTTAAAGTTAGAAAGTTTTTTGCTTGGACTATAAGCTAATGTTTTGCACCTTTTCCACCTCTATATTTTTTCCTTTCTAGTTTCAAGTTGAGTACCAATGAATGAAATCCTCTGTGCTTTGTAATTTTATATTTTAATGGAGATCCCTGTTTTCTTTGTTCAAGATGTGTTTGTGTGTGTCTCTCTCTTGCTTTTTGTTTCATTTTCCTTGCATGTCTTTGCATAGTTCATTTCTCTTGTAAGTAACAATCTATAAAACTAAATATTTTTAGTTCTATTCTTCATATATTCACAGGAAAGTGTTCAGACTGGATATTGGATAACTGTAGAACCACACCATGGTGGCAATAACATCAGTTTCAGAGGTAGAGCTAGGGGAGAAAACTTATCATCATCATCTAAGCCTTGTCCCAACTATATGGGTTGGTTACATTAATCTTGTTTTGCCATTCTGTTCCGTTCAGTGACATATCCATTGTTAAATGGAGCTACTCATAAATTCCTTTCTAAGACTTCATTTCTAAGTTGACATGTTCATGGGCTGGGCTTGGATTGATCTTTTGCCAAACTTTGAATAGGCCTGGTACGAAGCAGTGTAAAATGTTCATGGGCCAAGCTCAAAGCCTGGCATCATGGGACAAGCTTAGGGGTGACCATGGGTACAAGACACGGTTTGAAGTTCCGAGACTGACTTGATACAATCCCGTACAGCGTATTGATCAAGAACATTTCCTTTTTTTCGGGGGGATTTTTGGACTGCAATCACCCACAGAAATCTTTTTTTTTCACAATAACTGCTCTTAGATAAGCTAAAGTCTGAAAAAGAGATTGGTTGAAATTATGACTTACAGGCAGCTAATTCTAACTGAGTCTGGTATATAAAATTCAGAGCTTCAGAAATCTCCTGCTCGAACTGATGAAAAGGCCCACTTGTAAAGTTCATCTTCCGAAGCTTACACAACCCCTCTCCCAGTTCCATCATCGCCCCTCTATGATTCTGCATTCAGCAAAAGAAAGAAACTAATTAAATTAACTAAAGAAGTTGAATAAAATTACAGATGAAAGCTTCGAAAAGGCCGACAAATGCACAAGTAATAAGTACCTGGTTAAAGAGGTGATGAAACCCCACGGCGCATTGTAGAATCCCATGGATCAGAGTTCGTCTCGGCTCCTCTGCTTTGTTCCATAGAGCTTCGAGAAAGTCGTGGCACTTATAGTAATCCCTGTTGTTGAAGAGCAAAACCGCTTCATCGAAGTTACAATTCTCACCTTCTTCGTCATCCTCGAAGAAATCATCGCTCGAGAACCGATAACAAAGGCGAAAACAATCGAGACTTCGTTCCCCGGAAGCTTCATAAATCCTTGGATTCCGACATTGAGATTGGAAGAATGAACGAGAATAGCATCCGAAGAATAAACTTTGAGGGGAGAGTTGAGGCTGCGATCGTGGAGTGAGTTGCAAAGTTGTCAACGTTAGAGCGGAGCTCGATGAGATCGCCATTGCCGACCAAAAGCCCCTGCAAGTCTGCAACTGCGTCCATTTTGAGTAGCTTCCTCTCTCTGTATTCTTTCCTTGCTTTTCCGTGTGGTTGGCAGTTGGCGAGGTTGCAAGATATCTACGAGTAGCGACAAAAGTATAGTTCGAAGCATCTGGAATTGCATAGTCGACATAGATAAACTTGGTAGACTTTTCTATCCGTATATTCGGTTTTTTTTTTTTCTTCGGAATACCCCCTCCCTTGCGCCTCCAAAAGAAATTTACGGAAAAGTACGGTCTGATTTTCACTGGAAAGTTGTAAACATTTAAATGTTTGGAGAAAATGGAGGTGTTTTTGGTGTATTGGCCGAAAAAGTCGACCCCATCTAGGTCAGTTTGGCTTTTTAATTCATACACTAAATTAGGGTTTATGATCTGAATATACTTAGTCATTATTGACAACCAAACCAGCAATAATAAATAATCAGTAAAAACATGAACAATAACAAATAGATTTGACTAGGTGTTGTAATCCAAATTCGGATTTGTACTGTTCCAATTTTGCATCAAAGGCTCAATTTGAAAGGAGTATAAATATATACAGTATAAATACATACAAAATAATATAAAATATAACGTTTTGCGCTCTAAATATTTGTATTTATACCCCTTCCAAATGGAGCCAAACTTGCACTTTCATTGCATTGTTCTTGGACCCCTCCAAGGGCTGAGAGTTCCATCACTTTTTTGAATAAGAAACAAAATAACAAAACCTAATTTTTTAATGCTTACATTAAAAAAAAACTAATGCAAATTATCTAATAAAAATAAAAAGATATATTAAAGATAATATGAGAAATTGCCCATTAAACATCAATCTTAAAAAAAATAAAGAATTCAATCACCATCAAACTTTAGCCAATAAATCAAAGATTACACCATAGAACAATACCAAATAATCAGAGTTAATCAATGCTCTAGATTGAATTCCATACACCATACACGTGTGAGCTCGAGAAGGTGAAACGTTGCAACCCGGCGTCCCTTAACTCAAATTTTGAAATTTGATTTCTCTCGCACACAGCCCGCCATCTTTAGCTTGAGCTAGATCAAAGCATAGGTCAAACGGCTCAACTAGGTTTAGATAAAACCACCGAATTCCGCACTTCTATTGCCGAGCACACAAGCAGCTCGTCCTCCTTTATGGTTGCTGAACACCCTACTCCTCAATCTTGGAACTGGGGGCCGGTGATAAAGCCATATCTCACCCCGGTTGAACCACCACGTGGAAGCTGACATGGAAGACACCTGGCTGAGTTGTTCAGTTTGACCAATGTGGAGAACATGGTCCCAAGGTGGAGGTGACGGGATCTTCTCCTCACATAGGGGTGCCTCACAGGCACATCTACCGTGCATTGGGAACATCTCCCATGAATAATAATTTATAAGTATGGGAAATGTTCTCAATGCATGGTAAGATGTGCATATGAGGCGCCCTGTGTGAGGAGCAGATTCAGTCTCTGGGCGGAGAGGATGTGTGACAAACAACAAGTCTTACCTAACCTGCATCTGGTTGAGGAACACCGAACCACATGTTCACATCAACCCCCCACAACGTTCCAAACACATCCCCGTTGTGTATTGGAAACATTTCCCGATGATGGGGGACAATCTTGTGGGGAGCTGATTTGATCTCTCAAACCACCCCTAAAACCTCAGCTAAATATCATCCTACAGCATGCCACATGTCCTGATAAGTGAGGAGCACAATGATGCTCCCATCAACATATAAAGGCACACCACATGGGTATTCTTATTCTACTTCCAATTTCAGTACTTTCGCTCTCGATCTCTCTCCTGCTCTCTTAAGATCTTTAGCATTGCTTGATAACGATGGCTTGTTTTCACTAGTTCAACCTAATTAACCTCCCCTTCGCCTTACTAACTTGAGCATCAGAGTGTTTCCTCCCAGGAAACCATCTTCGAGTCTTCAACTTACATCACCTTCCCTCTATTTTAAAATGGACTACGACCTTCCTATCAAAAGAATTACCTGTTATTTCCAACCAAAAAGTCTAATACCTATCCTTCTACTCTAATCAAATTACACACAAGACTCTTCGATAATCTTCAACTTGGACAAATAGTAACTGCCACCATTCACATCACAGACATCCCGTCATCATTGAAGGAACTCCGTGCAAGAATAATAAAATTCCGGCCTTCAAGGAACGAGCTCCAACCCCTCTACAAAAGCAATAAAATTCTGGCCAACATGACCAACGGTAGCCATGACTGACGCTCTCATGGTTTTCAAGAATTAATGTAAGATACTTCGTGAATTGTGAGCAAACCTACTTACATTTCTTTTCAGTAGGACTTTATCGTGTTGTTGTCTTCTTGTTGGTTTGTTCTCATTCCTCTTGGTTAATGATCAGGTTAAAGGAATAGAAGAATTATAGAACTGACAAGTGACAACTATGCCTGAAAACCCACAATCTGTAGCAGAATCGCCACAGAAGACAGAGAGAACCGATCTCCAGATCTACCTAAAGTTTGTTGTATAACCTCTACTTATCAGAAACCTGTTAAAGATTGTTATTCTTCCTCTGGCCGGCGACAACTAGCCACTAATTCCATTAGTGATCCTGCTGACGTGTCAAGCTACTGCAAAAGAATCAGAGTTAGTTATAGCTTTTTGTTATGATGGACGATCAATCATTTGTAATGATTTGAGCGAATATCATTGTATGGTTCACCAGGATCTTATAAATATTCCCTAGAATTCCTCCAAGGTTAAATCCCTTGTTTTCTTCATCCCTTTGAGCGACAACAGAAACACTATAACTCGGGACAGCTCTGGCCTAAATCCCCGGCAACGGGGCGAAGTCGCTAGCAAAGATCTAGCCATTTTGATCGAGAATGAACCCCCCAAATTCTTACTCTTACTCAGGAGTCTGGGAGTCTGGAGTATTAGGAAGAAAAAACATTCAAGAAAAAGAACAGGTGAAAGAAGACCCCAAGATATTAACCAAAAACTAAAGAAAGCGTAGAATAAATTTTTCCATGGACATCGGCTTTCGCGACTTTCGTCCCTGCAAGAAATTGAGGGTCCGGAGTCTCCCATCTCCCTGTTTGGAATTGAAGGCCGGCACTTTTGTGAAAAGAGCTTCATAACATCTGTTGAGAACTTCATAAATAACATTTTGAGTAAATTTCATTTTCCTATAACCTTTCAAGTTCAAATTCTTGTTTCCTTGCTTGATGCTTATTATAAAGGGTATTCACCGACAAGAGAGGAAATTATCCATTTAATTTTTGGAATAATTCCCACCTTTTCTTTTCTTTTCTCTATAATGATAGTGGATGATGTTCAAATTCTAGCTTGAACAGCTCTTGCGTATGGGGTTCCAAAGAAGTAGAGCAGAAGAGATAAATCATCCCATGAAAGCGAGGAAAACTGAAAGGATTTCTACCGTTTTCTTAACACACAAGAGGCCGCATGAAATTGGATTTTAACAGATTCCCAACGGAGGGGAGATTTGTGTCTGATAACATCAGACAACAGGGAAGGTATTAGTCCATTTTGAAAAGAGAAGGGAGGTCTTAGTATTTACCATAAAACTCAGGGAAGATCAAGTCTTTTAACCTAAAAACAATGAGTAGGATATATGCAATTTGATCTGTCAACAACAAGATCTCTTACATTTCAAGTGATGATACCCTATCAGCCCAAAAAGTCTGAAATGAAGCAAGTATTTATGTTAGTCTGACATCTCAAGATTTTAATGTAAGTACCATACTATTGCATTTTAACATGAAAAAAAATTGAAAAATAATAACATTCCATACTTCCATTTCAATAAATAAAGTCATGCCACTATTGAATGGTCATCAACAAAGACTCAGTATTATCTAAACTCGTTATAGAACTCAATTTTAATTGGAACCTAGATATTATAATTAAACAAATAAAATAGACTTTGAGACTCCCTACTCCTAGAACCGAAAGAAATTGTAATGGTATTTTACTTATCATAATCACATTCCAAAAATGACTCTTGACACAATGAAGGGACCAAAAATTTTTTCTAGAGAAAAGGATGATTGAGACAACATCGGATGGGTGTAAGAGATGACAGAAATACGCTGTCGTCCACCACTGTCAAAATAATACATCATCCAACTTCATGCCAATCAACTCTTGTCCCATTTTGAATTCCTGAAACATAAAGCAAGAGAAAGAATGTAATTGAGCAATTAACTGATCTACTTAGCCTACTAACTGAAATGAAGAAAAAAGGGAACTTGGGTACATTAAAGATGGAAGATAAGAATAGAGATGAACCAAGATTTACATTAGTTAGGCCACATATAGAAGTGCCATTGATTAAAGTAATAGACTAAGAAATGGATAAATGCAAATATTGAAGCAACAAAAGGAACTTATGGAGACTTTTTAAGTTTTTGGGTGTTAGGATAATACTATTTTTAAGGTTTTTAAATTTATTTTCTAGTAGTAGGTCTCTTCAGTAAAACCTATGCACTACTAAACCGATACCCATTTTGGTCTTTTTAATTATACTTAAAGTTATGATAGACAGACTAGAGGTTTGAGATATCTATTGGCTTTGTCGTTGAAATAAAGCAAGAACTTGGGTTTTAACCAGAAGAGGGTGAAAGAGATAGCAGATGTGAAAAGATATAGGCAAAATGACCGAGGAGGAGATGGCTTAAATGAATATAGATCTGGCAAAGATGTTGGCAGAGAAGGCAATGGTAAAAGTAAAGCATCTCAAGATACAGCTGGACCTTTGTGAAGTAGCAGAGAAGGCGATTCAACACTTGTTAAAAGGTATAACTTTACACATATCCAAGCCCATGTTGAAACAATGGAAAAAAAACATGCAATAACAGTTCTAAATGTGGAACATGAGCTCAGTATAAGTTCATTAAAGGAGGGCAGTCGGAGATTTGTTTTCAAGACTTAAATGAGAGAAAAAGGGCATTAAATGAGGGGCCTTGGTTTTATAGGACGAGTTGGTCAATGTTAGCCCCATGGCAAGACAATTTTTAAGGCCCCATTTGTTTTTGGGATTCTGAAGAGGGCAAGTCAATCAATGAGATTGTGGTTCCCATTGACCACTTTTCCCATGTTCATTTTTCAAGTTCATGTAGAACCAACTTAAAAATAGATATTACATACCCGGGTAAGTGATACCCATCTCCCAGGTGCATAAATAACTTTCCCATCTGAGAATCAAACCAACACAGGTAAGTTCATTCACCTGGGTAAGTGTTTCCCAAGTAACACTTGCCAGGTAAATAGCTTTCCAAAAAACGAACAGGGCCTTAAAAAGTCAATGGGAGAAAATATGGGTCCAAAATGTATGACTTCAACTACATTTTCTTCCACAATATTTAGTGGAATATAGTAAGGCTATATTCTAGTCATGGCTTACTCTTGAGGTGATTGAGGATCAAAAGCCCATCAAACCGTCATCTCATTAGAGGGTTATATGACTAGAATGTTCATTACTACAAATGGGAAGAGAGTTTCGGGCATCAATGGACAAAATGTAAAAGAGTGGAGACATCTTAGAAGAGGCAAGGGTGATCACAGTTGAAAGAGAGAGAGACATGCCTAGGGAATGGCTCAAGGTGAAATATAAATTTGATAAGCCACACAAACTGAAAATTTACAAGAAATAAGGGATGGGTGTAGAGTACCTCTCATTTGCATGAGCAAGACAAGATTTGACGAGGACTCAAAGGATGAAGGAATCAATGGGAAAGAAAAATGTTAGGAGAATCGATCATCAGCAGGTGCTAGGGCTTTTGAGAAGCACTGTGGGCAGATGATGACTAGTCAACTGAGTCCTCAAATTGGTGAGTTGATCAGTCTCATAGCAAGCGTTCTCATTCAAAAACTGGCACAATTAAAAATACAATTTACATGCTCCCAAATGTGTTTTTACATTAATACATGCATAGAGTGAATTTTTTGAGTCACGTGTATGACCAAATTGAGTGGATTCAAGATATTTGGATCCCAGGACCAGGTTGCGTAAGAGAGGCCAACCAAGAAAGTCGATCTTTGAACCAAATATAGGTACACAAATTCAAGCTACAAACGATGGCTTTGAGAATTGGCATTATAAAGTAACTAAAGTAAGGATGCTACAAGAAAGAATTGAAGAGAAAGATGGATAAAAAGATTAAGGGAAGTCATCTAAAGCCATACAAGCATGTTAACGAGTGCATTAAACAGGGTGTTGAGAAGCAATGTCAGGTGAAAAACAATGGATAGAACCAAGGCTGCCTTTACAATGAGAATCTCACAACTCAGTCTTTTAACAGCTTTGAAGGACAAGCCTGGGACCAAATGATGTTCTAAAGCCAGTCGAAAACTTTCCCCATATTGAAAAAGCATGGCATATTTGCTCTACACCCAACCTCTTGCTTTTTTTTATCTCCATGGTTTATGCCTGTATGTTGAAATTCTATATTTTTAATAGAAATGGAATTTCTCATTTGGAATGGTCAAGGGTTAATAAACCTCACACCATTCATTTTCTAAGGAAACTATGCAAAATACACAAGACAAATCTGTTATTCTTGTATGAGAAAAGACTAGGGGATCAAAAACAAGAACAATTTTGTAGACACTTCAATGCAATTGCTTCAATAAGGCAGCCTAGTAGATTGTTTTGCTATTGAGTTATTGACTTTGTAATTACAAACGCAAGATCTAGATTTGATTGACGAATAGAGAAGCAGAAAAGAAATAGAAAAAGAGTTGACTCAAGAGTGGTTCAACCTTTGGCCTACATTCACAAAAGAGGGGGGAATAGAAATCCACTAAATCAGTAAAATGGAGTACAAGTTTGAGCAACCTCACACAAACCCAAGAGCCCAGTACACCCCCAAGCTTGATCTGACCCAGCATTCTTAACAAATGCCGGTCAGATCATAAAGCGGGCCATATACAGGAATTTAAGGCACAATTCAACAAATCTCCACGTTGGCTTGAATTCCATCAAGCCACACAAGAATAGTGGACTCTCTCCTATCTCGAGACCCCTCCCATCTGAAGCAGGTAGAAGTACTATGATGAAAGCAGTTATTCAAGTCCCCCTACCTATGTTATTAGTACAACTCTAATCCCAAGGACAACTACAAACAAAATGGAGAAGTTGGAGAAGGAATTCTGGTGGGCAGAAGAGAGCAAGAAGAAAGTAATGCACACAATTGCATGGGAAAGGCTATGTATAACAAAAAAGGTGGACTTGGTTTTAGGAAAATGCATGAAATGAATAAAGCCATATTTAGTAAGCAAATTTGCAGATTGTTGACAAACCAACTAGCTTTATGGTCTTGAGTGATCAAGAGAATTTTTTTATCAAGGAGAAGTATTTTATTCATAGATCCATATTCAATTGTAGAAAGAGACTACAAGATTCAAAATGGTGGAAGCAGGTTATTGATATTTTTAGTGAAATGAAGAAAGAAGTTTGCTGGCAGGTGAAAACAGTGAACTCCCTTCACATCCTAGAACCATGGATTCCATCTCTGAGAAATGATATCCAGTGCTACAGGCAGGGATCTTTCAGAAAATTCACCAAAAAAAACTGTCAATGAATAAATAGCCTCCCAAGTATGCCAGAGGTGTTGATGCCTCTGAGGCACACATGTCAAACGCCTTTTACATGAGGCGAGTGCCAGAGGCATTAAAAGCTCCTCTCTGCCTCTTTACTCCATTTCCTTAAAACAATCAATCATGGATGCTGCTATAGTGCTGAAGTCTTTTGTTCTACATCATGATAGTAACTCTTTTGTTCTACATCAATCATTTTGCACATGTCTGTGTGAGAGAGGTAGGAGTAGAGGTAAAGAGACTTACCATCACCGGACAATTATTGCAAACCACTTGGCAGTCAATAAGTAAAACTGATGTCATTATGCTTGTCTATTGGACCCTTGGGTTTCCGATAACGGAAATGGATAAACTGAATAATTATCTAGAAAGATGTTAAGGCTCCAA